CCCTCTGAGTGAATCTCTGCATGTGGGTGAGATCTTTAAAACCCATCATGACACGCACAAACACATGGAACATGATATACACGTGGAACTGAAAACGAAATTGTTTTTATAAATGTATTTTCTTTTTAAATAAAGCATTTTAAATGCCAGAAAAATCACATTTAATGAATTTTAATGCCAATTACGGCCTTAATTTAAAAAAATTATTTAACGACTTTTAATGATTTTTAATGAGCCACTGAAACTGTTTAATAATATTTTTAGTTTCTATTCTCTACGTCTAAAGCATGGAGTCTTCATCATGAGGTAAAAGATTAAAAACAACAGGTTTTGGTTGGGAAAAAGTGAACATTCCAAAGTCTTTGACATTCTTTAGACATTCCCAGGTAATCACATCAAATCAAGATGTGTAGTTTAGTTTAACCAACTCCCAGAGATAGAAGGCATCTCATAACTACGCCTTTCTCTGCACGCAGAAGCAAACAAAGAGTCACTTAGAGTCAGAGCTATTATTGTCAAGAAATGCTGCATTCTGCCTCAGAGATCTCTTTGTCTCCTTGCATTTTAATCCTGTGGATTCAAAGCCAAATAAAAACAGGTGTTAGTATTTCTTCACCTTTTGTTTTTCCATCAAGGCTAACTCCTTAAACGCTTGATTAAAAAAACTTGTTCTGAAGTGATACTCAGTTCATTTTGGTGCGTTTTCAATCAGCCCTTTTGTCTCTAAACAGAAAGGTAACGTTTTGGTGTTAAACTGCATGAAACGAGTGAATTATAAAGCCTTGTAGAATTAACAAGAGTTTATAATGGAGCTATGATTATAGCAGAAATGGTTTTATCTTCTTTTCCAGTGGACCAACATTCTTCTTGTCACGCTTTTCTCAATCCAATTGATTCACGACGTGAGTGAGTGTGTGCAGTGTTCACTGCACATGCACTTAAGCCTCCTCAAGGCGTGTTGGATAAAAGCCTTCGCTGAAATGCATATGAGAGTGTGTCAGGAAGTGGGTGGCAATGCATGTGTGTGTGGAGAGAGGACATGTACCATTATCAGTTATTAGGCTGGGAACCCTCACCACGGTGGACGGAGAGCTCCAACAGATGATCCAATGCATAATGCAGGGTGGAGATTATCAGATGGGCGTATCTCGATCAACAGATGATCGATTAGCAGCCTAAATGACCGGAAAATAACGCTAATTTCTTTAGACAAATGAGATCATTCATCACTGAACGTGGGAGATATTGTACACTTTAACACAAAGTTGAGGACAGTTTAATAACAGCAGGAAACACCAGAAAACATCTGTTTCTATATCATACAAATAAGACTGCCTGGTCTGAGGATGGTCTCTGATGGACAGTTAAAGGATAAAGTGATCATAAAATTCAAACCCCGCAGACTGAGACGTTCCAGACACCACTGGTAAAACATATTTAAGATGTTTCTCCTTTCTTCAAATTGATGGCTACATCCTCTGGCTGCAAATGGCACCATGACTCCATATTGATGTCTGGGTGTTCTGAGCTATAATATCAATACCTCTGCTTGCTGCTGCTGGGAGTGATCGGCTTGGAGCTATTTTTAAGCGCTCAGACTCGGACGAGCGGCAGGGGAAATGTGTGTCTGCGTTGCGCTCTGCAGCTCCTTCTGCAGCTCAGCTCTGCTGTCTTTATTCTGTCTAAGGGGGGCTTGAGGAGACATTACAATATATAAGTTTTACAGCCATCCTGATGCCTCACACACAACAATAAATCGGCTTTATTTGAAACTTGCGTGGATAAAGAAAAAAAGAAAACATGCAAGGTAATAAAAAGAGGATTAACTGAAAACTCCTGCTGCTTTTCATTAGTGCTGCTTTTAAGTTTCTGCTCAGTTTTGTCTGCATGTGTCCAAGATGTAGCTTTATTAGAGTCAGAACATCCCTTATTATTTAGGAAGGGGGGGTGTTTTCCTGAATGGATGTTTTTGTTGCGCGCATCCCAAACATTCCCTGTTTCAACTGGAACTGTCCCTGTAAGGTAGTCTGCCATGCACTGAGCTGCGTGTGTTTGGCTGCATGCATTGCAGACACGCTGCAAGACTAAGGACATGTCCATCCAGCAAAACCTCCTAAACTCCAGAGGCTTTGCGGTCTGTTGTGTCCGCAGCCAGAAGAAAACCCAGCCGCAGAACCAAAACATGCCAAAAGACAAAAAATAAACTTTTATTTTAGCCCTGGAGGACTTAGATGATGAATCAAATCAAGGAACCAGAAGTGGATCTCACCGGAGCAGTTCCAGCCGGTCGGTGTCTGACAGTCGCTGAGGGAGGACGGGAAGGCGCGCAGCTGCTCCACAGGTAAAGTAGCGAGAAAGGAAAGGATGGTGATCCGGATCCAGCCTCCCGTAAGAGGCGCGGCTGTGCCTCCCCGAGCATGTGCAGCCACGGTCGGACCCATCTCTCTCTCTCTCAGTGGCCCCGGCCGCAGCACGGGCGAGGCGGGGAAACGGCGCGCGGCAGCTCTGATCCCGACAGGTTCAGCGGGGCGCCTAGAGCCCGACGGCGGAGCATGTTCCGCGCGAGACGGTGCGCCCCATGAAGCAGTGGCCCGGTAAACTGAGCCGATCCGATCCGAGGGAAGATATTAGAGACCAAACCAACAGCCGATCCAGCACTGGGGAACTGGGGGGGAAGGATGGAGGAGGGTGAGTGGGATGGAAAAAGTTGGAGACTGGAGGACCTAAGGAGGAGAGGATGCTGAACTATGGAAAAAGGGAGAGAGGATTGAGAATGGACTAATAAGGTGATACAATAAAAAAAAAAAAATCAAATAAAAGCAAATAAAGTCAAGCCAGGATCCAGCTGGGAGGGATACGCGTGGTAATATCCGCGGTGCGACAGCGGCGCTCCTCCGGTGCGTTCAGAGCCGCAGCCACACTGTTTCTGTCCGCCTCTCTCACCAGCAGCTGCTGCGCATCACGTGGAGGATGATGCGATGGAGAGAGAGAGAGAGAGGGAGGGGGGGTCCGTCACAATTAAAATATCTAAGTTTTAGAGAAGGGCTACAAGCCGAAGGAAATAAAAAGCAAAGCCACAGAGAGGAGCTATAAAAGACACAGTGTGCCGTGGGCTCAGTCCCAACAGCTGCTGATGGCGATGGCTGCTCCACGCACAGACTCATCAAACACCTCCTTTATTGTTCTGCAAGCTGCTCTTGGCTAACCGCTCCTCCCTGAAACAACACCGATGCTTCTGCTCTTCTTTAAACCTTCCAGCTCCAGAAATAACTCCACGCTGGTCGTGTTTTCAGGCAGTGATCACGCCCCACAGGATGCGCATTTCATGTCCCTCAATGTGTTAGCAGAAGTTTAAAAGGTTAAGGCCTCAGGTTAAGAACACTCCACCTTTCATACAAATAAATTGCAAACATGCAGATGGAAAAAGTCCTTTGGGGAGGGGGAAACAGTAGGGCTGCTGTAAACAGCCCGTCACGGTTAGAGAAGAGACTTGACCTCATGATGTTCTGAGGAAAAAAGCTGCAGATGTTTGAAAACAAATAATCCTTTTATTGCTCATTACTTAGAGATCATTTCACGGGTTCTCCTCACTTAATAGGGTTTATTACATGCATCAAATTCAGGAAACATCTGCTTTGACAAACTAGGGCTTTTCTTCTCATATAAACATTTTAGATCTATTTTTCTAATATGGAGCTTTATTAGCCTCATTTGACTTACAAACTTTTCTTCTTTCCCTTGTAAGGTCATGAAAAGTCTTCGTTCTCATTTTCTGCTCTTATTCACTCAATTCCATTCAGTTTATTTATATAGCGCAAATTCACAACA